GGTCTACCAGGTGTTTACAATTCACAAAACAAGGCTCCATTTGTCTTAAAAATCTGAAAGCGATGATTTGCAATTTTAATGTCTGCATCAGTTTGACTTGAAATTAATAAATATTCCAACGTCCTTTTTACCATACTGATTGAAACGGTAATAATTATCGTGATTGAATCGTTATTTAAGAAATTAAATGCAAATGGATGCATTCAAGTGGTAGCAGTTTGTATGGTAATATTGACCATGTACACAATCTATAAAGTGAAGGTGCATACAGCTAGTTCAGAGTCTCATGTACCTTATGACCCTTTACATGGACAGGTAGCAGATATTTTTGTATTCATTCATTCACCTGTGCGTAAAATATATGTCTCAGTATAAACCCTAGGTATAAATTCTAGGAGCCCTAGATAGACTATAAACTGAGGTAGAAATGTAGTACTCACTGAGCGATCGGAATTTTGTCACTGGCGCAACCTTCTTGACATTCTCAGGTACCTCTACTTCCGAGTTAACACGCGGTATTATTCATACATACATTTATAACAATGTATATCTATACATATTCATAACATACATAAGTAGGTATAAGTAGTTTGTAAAGTTACAAGGAGGAAATTGTTATATTCTTTTACCATTGGCATTATACAGGTAATCGATCAAATTGTGGTTTCCGAATACTTAAGACCAAACCACTTAAGACTTGATTTAAATTTATCGATGAATAAATAATAATAAGTAATAGTAAGCAACGTGAACTTCTTAAAAATCATTATTCACGTTGTAAACTTTATAACGAAACTGTTGTATAGTGCCCCGAGATAAAAATGTTCAGTCTCTCAGAGTCTCTGAAAACGAGACTCGAGTCTCCGTCTCTCAACGAGTGTCTCTGGTGTCGCTGAGAGAGAGACTGTCAAAAAAACTATTTAACGTCTCTGAACGAGAGAGTCGAGTCGCTCATAGAGAGATCCTCATTTCGTATCCAGTCTCTGAACGAGAAACTCGAATCTCTCAATACGTGTTGTCTCGATAGACATGATTAAAATTTTCTAAGTTCAACATATTTCAGAGATCCCAGTCTTTCTACGAGAGACTCGAGTTTCTCAATTTCTCAGTTTTATTTATTCAGTCTCTCTGTGAGAGACTCGAATCTCTGAATTAACAATTTTATCGTTCGAGTCTCTCATACAGAGACTGTGAGAGATCCATAAAAACACCTAGGCAATAACTGAAGGACTGTGAAATACTGTGAGAGACGCTGTTACGTTAAATTACGTCTAGTGTGACACATTCTCATTAACTCTAGATAACGAATTGAACGTTCTCAGTAGCTAAACAGTAACCGTGAAAATAAGAAGACTGCTTAAGGGTGAAAAAGATGTCATAATACACCATTTCACTGATTAGATTATGTAAAATGCTATGCACTAGGGGTACGTTATATCCACTAGCTTAGATTATGGTGGAAAAGGTTGTCCTAAGTGACATACGTGTACCATGGGTTTGAGTTGGGTTATAGTGGGAGAAGATTTTTTGATTAAAGTACGTAAAGTACTGAAGTTTAGATTACATTATGGTCAAAGAGAGTTTCTTGAGTATCATATGTAAAGTGTCAGCGACCAAGAGTTTAAGTCAGATTATGGTTTCTCTCATTGACATGTGTGAAGTTTTATGCCCCTAGGTGAGAGTAAGGGAGGATTTCTTGAGTATCATATGTAGGGATCTATGAATCAAGGCTTTAGGTTAGATTACGGTAGCAATATTACTAAAGGTACATCCCTTATTTCAAAGATTTTGTTAGAATCGATTGCTATTTGATTGTACTGTGTACGTTTCGAACAAATTAAGTGCGTACGAACTGTCACACAGAACACTTTAAAACACTAAAACCTCTACTTCATTTAAAAAAAGCTCATTATACTCTCGACTCTTGTTCATTAAACAAACTTTTTCACACAGTACCTGCCAAAAGTTTTGTTCAATCATGAATAGTAGTGCAAGTCGAATACAAGCGTTAAAGCCTTTAATATGTCTTCAAATATAAATAAACATCTCGTTGATATTTTCAGTAGTAAATGGTACCAATAACAGCACATTTGAGCAATGCAATTGTAGTGGATAAAATGGTCAATTTTTCCGTACAGTACTGTACGGATTATACGCTCCTCACCGGTTAGTAGTTTGGTCGAGAGTTGTCTCCTTCCTTTTCTGGCCTAGTGCTGTTCTTTTCTACTTTGCGAAAGTAAACGGAGTATAAATGTAGAAAGTATAATTATTTTCTCTCTGCTTATCTTGGTAGAAAAAAACGAATGTCCAGATCGTTCAAATGCACGTTCCAACTAAGTAATGGATCCCTTAGAGCTATTTCAGGGAAGTTTACCAAGTTTCAAGTTGTTTGATATCCACGATAAGTTGATAAATTCAACCCTGCTGGAGTCCCTTCATGTTCACGTTGCGTTCCCAGGTGAGGGTTAATCAGCATTTCGTGCTGTTCCCCTTAATAAGCAGATGTAAACAGTTTGCTCCTGGGACATATTAATTTCCTCAGTAACTAAGAAATAGGTACTTTGCTTACCTACCTATAAATACCTTGGTTCTAACATAATTCTTAATGCTCCCGAGTAATTATTGCGCGGGTAAAGACGGGTAACCGGATGGTCAGCCGAACTAAAATATTAATTTCTTAAATAGAAAAAGGAGTTGTTTCTAACCATGAAAATGCCAGAAAAATGTCTCTGATTTTTCCTGACCATTTCGCCAATTTTATCTAGAGTGCTTACTATCACGTTCCATCCTCTGGGACTTCCCCGTCTCGTAAAAGTAATTAACTAGCTTAAACATACGATCTTTAACTTCTTGCCCTGCATATTTTAGAAGTTCCACCTGTATCCCATCTATACCTGACGACATTATTCTTTAAGTTTTTTAATGCTACATCATGCTATCTCTACGCTATCTTCCTTCTCTAATATATCTCCTAACTCCTGGAATTCGTAAAGGTTCTCTAAATATTCTTTCCACCTATAATATAATATAAAGCAGAGGATAGCGCAGGGTCGTGTCGCCTTTAATAAAAAGAAGTCACTTCTATGCTCGCGAAAGGTTAATTTAGAAATTCGAAAAAGGTTGTTAAAGGTGTATGTCTGGAGCACGGCGTTGTACGGGTGTGAAACATGGACAGTGGGAGCGGCGGAAAAGAAAAGGTTAGAAGCGTTCGAAATGTGGTGTTATAGGCGGATGATGAGGATATCATGGATAGAAAAGGTTAGAAATGAAGAGGTATTGGAAAGAATAGGAGAACGGAGGACTCTATGGAAGTCAATCAAAAATAGGCGAGATAGGTTGGTAGGACACCTTCTCAGGCATGAAGGTCTAGTCAGAAACATATTAGAGACAGAAACAGGAGTTAGGAGGGGTAGAGGTAGACCTAGATTAGATTACTCTTCGCAAATAGTTAAGGATGTGGGCTGTTCTAGTTTTAGGGAAATGCGAAGTTTAGCTCAGGATAGGAAAGAGTGGAGGTACGTGTCCAACCAGTCTTAGGACTGATGACCTTATGATGATGATGATGATAATATAATAAGACTCTAATTATCGCCTGTGCCTTTCTCTACAATATGAACAACAATTAAAACTTTTAACGGCCATCTGAATAACGATCCTGTGTCAGGAATGAAAAAATACAAAAGATCAAGTTTTTGCTCTTGGTAAAGTAAGTGAAGGCGATTTTAGGGTGTGAAGCAAAGAGAATAGCGTTTTAGAGGTTTAACTATCGATATTCTACGGCAGTTGTTGTTAGTGCTTATAATTCGTCTAATTTCGAATTAGCTCGTTGCCCAATAATGAAGATATGTGTGTGGAAAGTTGTGACCGATATCGTAAATGCGTGACACTTTACACCCCTGTGTTCTGTCCTGTTTAACATGTTTCCCATATGTATACGCGATTTTATATTTCAGCGACACGGTTGCAGTTGCAGTAGCAGTAGCAGCGGTGTCGTCTGTTTTAATAATTATTATCGTGCCAGCAACGGTGCATAAAGCATGCATGTGGTCGTGTAGTCGCAGTGCAACGAGACGCAATAACAGATTTATGCGCAGGGCTTGCCTGCAAGCCGGCAGAGCCCCTTATAGTTTATGAATTATTCCGAGATTTTCTCAAAGATATTTGCCATATTCCACGCGAACGAATTGCACGTGTTTTTATAACTGAATGACGCCAATTCTTGCCCGTTATATTCGTTCGTTTGTAAATTTTTATACAGGACGACGGTCGATGACGCGTCGTCCGTTCGCACCAATAGTCGTTTCCTAGTATACTTCATTTACTTTTTCTAGCGATGTGTCCCTTCCAATGTCTTGGATGCGCGCTGGCAAAATCGTAGGTAGGGAGATAAAAGCTCATTATACTCTCGACTCTTGTTCATTATACATACTTTTTCGTACAGTACCTGCCAAAAGTTTTGTTCAATCATGAATAATAGTGCGAGTCGAATACAAGCGTTAAAGCCTTTAATATGTCTTCAAATATAAATAAACATCTCGTTGATATTTTCAGTAGTAATTGGTACCAATAACAGCACATTTGAGCAATGCAATTGTAGTAGATAAAATAGTCAATTTTTCCGTTCAGTACTGTATGGATTATACGCTCCTCACTGGTGAAGAATTTGGTCGAGAGTTGTCTCCTTTCTTTTCTGGCCTAATGTTGTTCTTTTCTACTTTGCGCCGGTCAAACTGAAGGTCACATCGCTACAGAAACTATTAAACGTGAAAGTATAGTATAAACGGCATTAAAAACGCGTTTACCTCCAGCAAAACTCCTTTTTCAAGATTTTGTGTCTTCCCGATCATGTACTGTGCCTATACTAATCATTTTATATCATTTTAAAATTTCGCATATCAGCGCCATGTATTTAGGCTCCGCCCATTTGCCGAATTCTAATAACATATTGTTTAATTTCAATAAAAAAGTGATTGAAATATAACATTATTGTGCTTTTACAGGCAAACCATCCTGATGGGACAGTCTAAACTCTGGGGTTGTGGTTTAGCGTTAATACGGTAAGTTTATTATTTTTTTACTGAACGTTTGCAGAACACTTATTAATATTTAATGGATATACACCGCCACCGTTCTATAATCAGAATTAAAAAGGGAAATATTCAACGGTAGTTTTTACTTTGTTTTTCTTTCCGCTACTGTCACTGACCTTGTTTAAAAATCTGCTACTAAATAATAGCGTTTAAATGGGAGGCCAGCAGAAGCAGCAAGACTCTTTGTTAGCTCGAGACCACTTAATGATAAAATTCAAATTGGCGAGAATTTAAATTGCAAACTACGAACCGCGGTGGATAATAACAGTAGTTATGATGCACGCGAACAACATACTTTACCTCTTTACCTGTTTAAAGTTTCCTTTTCAATACACGAATGTAATTTTCACGCTTTGCTATCCAGTTACTCTCCTGCTTGTGGGTAATAACACTAACCCATTATAAGCACTATGCTCATCGTTTTGTACAGGGTGTTTCTATGTTAACTAGATGCATTGGGGAATCGCATGGTGAGCAAAGTAGTCAGTAAGATTGCAACATAAATTTGACGCGTTTAATAGGATTGCAGTCAGCAGAATCACAACATAAGTTTAGCGCAGTCGGTAGGATTGCAACATAAATTTGGCGGATCAACAAACTTGCAACATAAATTTGACGCAGTCGGTAGGACTGTAACATAAATTTGACGCGTTCTATAGGATTGCTATTAGTAGAATCACAACTTAATTTTGGCGCATTATGTAGAATTGCAATATAAGTTAATTTAGCGCAGTCAGCAAGATTGCAACATAAATATGGCGCTGTCAATAGAATTGTAACACCGAGGTGTTTTAGTTTGGCAGGGCGGGACTCAGAGTTGGCATCAATACCTTTGGGCTGTAGGTAATGGTGTATAAAAACACCTATTTCTCATGATTATGAAACTAGTCTTCATAAAAAATAGTTAATTAATTAACCATGAAATCCATAGCAGATAGGCATTACCAGTTTAATTCAAAACAATATAGTAAGTGAGAATTTTTTTAATTAAACGAAAGTATAATGTTAATTAATTAAATTATTCTGCGCTGAAGGAATTCCAGTTTTCAAAATTATATAATCCACTAAAATGATTGTGTAGTTTGGTTAAACCGAACCCCATATATAGGTATATATTTCTATAGTACCTAATACGTATATCTATATATATAAGGACCCACTCATACAATAAAGTGTCGCCGGTATAATGTATTTGCCTGCCATCTTGTTATGCAATAAGTCATAAAATATTCATGATCGCATAATAGTATTTTTACAAGAGATACCGTTCAAGTTTCTAACCATATCGGAGTGAATTTGAAAGAAATGTGAACAAATTGAGTGAAGCTAACCCTAGACTCGCTAGAATGATGTTTTCTTTTAAAGGAATTTTTTACTAATAATAATAATTTTCAGTTTTAGGGCTATATTTGTCCATGGCAAAACAAAATGACAGAAAAATAGTTTTTTACTGTACAAATGTAGGGTAGGTAATAGCGTCTAAAATACACATTATTTTATTGATTAGCATCATGGCAAGGTCGTCTGTCCGAATACGGACTGGACAAGCACCTCCACTGTTTCATATCCCACGCCAACCTTTCGCATTTCCGAAAAACATAACATCCCACATCCCTAAATATTTGCGAACAATAATCTAATCTAGGTCTTCCTCTGCCTTTCTTTACTAATGTAATTGCTTCTAGCATCCATGGAATTTTTTTAATATACTATATTTGAAACGTTTTTTTTTCGTTTTGCACCCGTACAGAGCTGTACTCAAAATATAAATACATATACAACAATCTCAACGAATTTCTTAATTAACCTTCTGCTAGCGGCAATTGTGATAAAAATAATAAGCTTTTGTTCATTCGAGTACTCCAAATAGGCATACCTACGCCACCTGGTGACAGAACATGTATCGATTAAAAAGCTGTTGAAAGGCTGTTACTGCACCTCCGACAATGATTTTGAACTGATTACATAATCGTATTTGTATAATTAAAGTTTATGTGAAAGCAGTAGATATCAAAGAAGCGAATTCCGAAATTTGAATGCTGTCCTGATTAGGTCTAAAAGTCGTCTTCTTCCTGGAAGCAATTTCATCCAACGGCGACCTTTACACCCAAATCAGGACATTAGTTCACTTATTACTGGCCGCAATTTATCAGACACCTCCACGGTAAGACATGTAAACATTATCAACGACTGGACAAAGTAAGGAAGTGGAAATTAATGTATTTAATTAAGATCCAATCAGCGCAAGCTAATGAAATCTATGCCAGGATTGAGAAATCTTTTCTACGAGAATGAATCCACAGCACACGTCGCAGCCTGGCGAAGACGGATGAATAACTCTTTGGTCTGCACCTGACACTTAGCAACAAGATTGAGACAAGATGGACGTAATCTCATATTCCAACATAAGGAACTAACTGGACCGCACCAAGGAGCAACAGATCAGGAAGTACGAGAAGTTCCAGAAGCCTGGACCACAGACATCTCGTGAAAATCTTATGAAGAAGGTGCTCACAGAAGATAGCGACGACATTGCTGGCCAAAGGAGAAAATATCGCAAACACTTCATCCCACATTCCGTTTTGAAGACATCATTTCCATCATGAAAACAGCTATCAAGCATCTACCAGACTAGGAATACGAATCGGAAGTACCAATATTCTCAGGAAGGTAAAGCCTCCCAGAAGCAACCCGACAGGGAATGAAGCAATGGCACTGCAAAACCTAAACAGGAATGAGGTTATTATCATACTCTCAGCTGACAAAAGAAACGAACCCGTTCTTCAAACACAAGTGAGACTACTTCTTGTCAACCGACTGATCGTTCCTACTATCCAAAAGCGTATTCTGAGGACAGAAGCTGTTCCACCGTTACTATATGGATTACCCAAAATCCACAAAGCTAATGATGCTCTGAGACCGATAATAATCGCCCCCCAATCACCAACATACTACATAGTAAAACAATTGATATCACCGCTTCAGCCCCATGTGAGAACGAGTACCAGTTACATCAGAAAACAATTCCAAGGACCAGCTTTAGACCAAAATCAGGACAGCAACATCAGTTCACTTACTGGCCGCGAAAACATTTTTACCAGTTTGTCAAATATTTCGGTGAATATTTCTTAGATGAATTGTGATTTAGTAAACTGGTTTTTCGATGATTTTTTCAGTTAATTTTTCTAGACCCAGTTCGATTTACACTTAACCGTGTTTATGTGTATTTTCTTCGCATCGTCATGTAGGGTAAATACGTTTTTTTACGGCGGAGGAATAGAAAAGAATTGGTACATTTTAGGAAGTAGAAAGTTTTAGTTTAGTAAGTTCTTTTGTTGTTCACTTCGGCCTTTTATTGGACGTGTTTCACTTTTTGTTCAGGTTTCCATGCTTTGATGTCCCCGGCAAGGCCGTTATTTTCACGATTGGCATAAAGTGGAACTCAAAATTAAATTTTCGCAAAGGGGGCGCTCGTCGAACATAAAAATTTACTTTTCTGCCAAATATATGTTGTTTATCGGGTGTTTAACGAGTATTATTCGTGGAAGAAGAAAAGTTTGTCGAGACCGGTCCTTTTCCAGGCGAAATGGGACCTTGCAAAAAATACTTGAAAATCAATTTTTCTGAAAATGAACTTCTGATAGAATAAAATGACTCGGACGGAAATTAATTCCTTTTTTTTCGGGACGATATCTCAAACTTCACCAATTTCCTTCTGGGAAACAGATAAGTAGAAAATATTGTTCAACAACAATTACTTCTGTCGACTTCCGAAAGTTTTATAAAATCATTAAAAAGTTCTTCCACAGAACTCGAGCTTTTTATACAAGCATTCTACCTTCATGAAAATAAAAAGTTATGACCCAAAAAGATTAAAATCGTACATGTACCTAATTATACTTCTGAAAAGAGATTCTCATTTAGCACAAAAAAATTAATTTTATATCCGTCCATCTTAATTATGGTTTTCGTATTAATTGACTTCCTATTAATGGAAGTTTTTACTGACTTATTTACATTAGGATTGAAATGAAATTCGTTAGCAGTGGCGTACTTTGGAATTTAAGTCCCCCATCGAGTAGAATGTTTTTTTCCCTCTTTCTTCCCCCTCCCCGTAAAGATTGGAGACGAAAAATTAGAAGAAGGGGATGTGTTTCTGTATCTAGCAAGTCAGATTACTCAGGTTGGAAGGAGCAGTACAAATATACTATGTCTAATTCCGGAATATTTAAAAAGTAACATCTATAGACAGTGTAGAGTACATATCGTCATAGTGCCCCAACGTAGAAGATGTTAAAAGTGTGGACAAAAAGTATCCCAGTTAACGAGCCGTCACATATTGAGAACAGTTACCGCGCTCTCTTATCGGATTTCGACTAAACACGCAAACCTATTCGTGGTCTTCGCAACAGCTGATACGTAGACAAGTCTATTGTACGTAATGATTAGTAATAATCTGCACTCGTTAGCGTTCAATTGGCAAAGTATTAAAACAAAAATAAGCTGACTGTGGATTGCATTGGAAATGCACCGGCGGTATCACGCGATAACGCGTCTTCATTATCATTATCGGAGCAGTTGGGGCTTTCGGTAAAGTCACTACCCTCATGTTTATGTATATCCTTGAGTGGTAGAATAAGAAAGAGTGCAGATACCTGTCCAACCAATTGTAGAGGTCACGACCTCACGATGATGATGATGATGAAAGTAAAAGACAATGCGTGGATTTATGCTAAATGTAAGACAATCATGAAGCATATTGTAGAATTTGACTATGATTGTTATTATCACTTAGGAAAGTGTATGGATGGAGTAGGTAGTAGTGTCCTCGTCCGTGCACGGTCTTCCTATTACAACGGTTAATTCTGTTAAGAACCCTTATTATTGAGGTAAAGTTCGAGGGCATCACCACGTTTCGGAAGGACTTGTGTAAACTTTGTTATTAATAGTTGCTCTGTGCAGCAGTC